TGCTGGTGTTGACACAATTGGGTGGAGAACTGACTTGATGGACAACAGTGGGTTTGGGGAGGCCAGAGAGGAGGCAGTTGCAGTTATCTAGGCAAATGGAGGTGTTTTTTTAGGGGTTGCTGATAGTGATGGGAAGGAGTGGGCAGAATTGAGGCATGCTTAGTAGATAACATGGAGAGACTTGGGAATGGACATGGCACGTGAAGGAGCCTGCTGTGTGAGAGGATGACACATGCCGTTGACTTCTGTGGAGGGCGAATGGTGGTGCTTTTCATCACACCGGGGATGCAGGAAGAGGCCCTCAGCGGGCTCTCTGGGGAGAGGGTGGCAGAGGGTGTTTGAGCAGAGAGAGTTTGGTTTTGAGTGTGTTGAGTTTGACATGGGGATGGAGGTGTAAACTAAACCTGAAGTCTCCCTGGGGCTTGTGTGTGTCTCTCAGCTCTCTGTCGTGGGTCCTCTCTGGGGACTCTCAGGTGTTCCACCTGTAAGCCAGCTTGTATTTCCTTGCCCACTCACATCAGTACAACAGGTTTTGAGGGACACTGGAGTCCAGCCCTGTCGAGGCACTTTTTGTGCATTGTGACATGAAGCCATTCATGAATAGTTCCAGAATTATTCCAAATACAAAGTGATGAGGCACAGAGGGTAATCGGCGTCCAGGGAAGGGAGAGATGAATGAGGCCTGGAGACTTTGGTATTCTTGCGCTTTAGGCAGCCATGGGGCCAATCCTGTTGCAAGTTCTGACCTCAGTGATGGTCTTTCTGAACTGTAATCATTTTCTAAGTCCAAAGAGAAAGATGTGACTGAGCTGTGAAACATTTCAAGGGTAGTTAATACACAATTTTGATAACTTTGGAGGTCACAAAGGCAACAGATGCACTGAAGATATAGTTGTAAGGTTACCTGAGTCCATGTTTGTATATGCACATGTATGTTAAGTTTTACCCAAGGAGAAAAAGGAAATGGCTTAACTTGTGATATTACTGGTACAACTTGTTTAAAATTAAGGTAGATTCTAATTTTTTAAAATTTATGGTAAACCTATTAGTGAAAGGTGGACCCTATTTGGGTCAAATTCTCTTAAATCCGGTACAGATTAATATCTGCTGGCATCTCCAAGAAAAGAAGGGGACTTTCCTCTGTTCCTGAGTGAGCAGGTGGCTTTGGGAGCAGTGACTCCAGGCCCAGATCTCTAGCTGCTTCCATGTTTCTTACCCATCTGGTCCCCTCACTCAGAGAAACACAGCCCTACCTACTCTGGAAAGCAATGCTTGGCCTGCCCAGATGCCAACAGTTACGACTTCTCTCCGCTCTGGCCAGCATTCTGCTTTTCTAGCAACAGATGTTTCTGCAAAGTAAATATTATTGACTCTGCCTGGCTCCTTGCTGTGTCTTGCACTGCCTGTACATGAAACAGCAGGGTTATATGAGGAGGGTGCCACGAAGCTTGGCATGCACCCAGCACCAGTGCCAACCTCTTTTCTTTTCCCTCTCCTCTTACTGGAATGTGTGTGGTAGATTCCTGTGTGCATCAGAGGGAAAGTTCTTGAAATAAACCTTTGGGGAGCTGCATATCCGAGGTGATATCTACATAACATACCACCAATCCTACTGGGTTGAAATAGGCAAGAAGCAATGGCTTTGAGGTAGAAAGTTCCCCTTTTGATGTTGTTTTCATTTTCTCAAGTAATACAGAGGGTTTACCTTAATGGGGGAAGCGTGATGGTATTCCCACATGCTACAAGGATCTCATTTCACAGGACTAAATTCACAGGTCCTCTCCTTCGTGGCCTTGTGCTTTTATGTCAGTCCTTTAGCTTCTCCGAGCTCCAAACAGTTATTCATGACTACCTTTCCTGGTTCCTCTTACTGGAGGATTCACATATGAGGAAGGAACAGCCCAGCTATACCTAGAACTGAATTTTATGATGCGCAGACTGCCTATACAATGTGTGTCACTGGATTCTCCCTGCCTAGCCCGTGGGCTGACAGCCTCCGTCAGATGAGATAACTGAGACTTGACGACTAACCCAGGGTTCATTACATATCTGATCTATGGTGGAGCTGGAACTTGAACCCAGGAGCTGTGGGAATGGGGTGGGAGCAGTGGGTTGGGGTTGATCAGCCTGTAACCAGCACCCCATAGAATGCAAGTGGAGAAGGGAGGTTCTCCAAAACAAGCTTCAGATGCTGTCCTAAAGTCTGGGGAATGGATTCCAAACAAGCAAAACGACAGGCATCCACTTTAGCTTTACTGAAAAATTCCTCTAACAAGCCTGAGGTGAGTTCCTTTTCAGGTCCACTCATTGAGTTTCTCGCTCTACCCAGCTGTCCTCATTTGCCTGAAGCCCAATATTGACTCTGTACCAGCAGTGATTACCTAATCGTCTATTGGGAGGTCGGCCTCTCCCTGAGCTTCCTGGGGTCCTCACTGCTTCTCAGCTTTGCGCTGTGGCAGAGTGTGTTCTGTGCCAGCAGACAAGGAAATCAGGTCACCTGCTGGTCAGAAGCTAACAGGCCCTGCCCTGGGTCAGTGGGTCCCCCTGTGCAGAGGCCCCACAAAGGCCCCGTTGTGCATGACTAGCCACTCCCTGATCTTCACTGCCAGCCACCCTTGGCAGTGCAGCTTTCCAGGTGTGTGCTGGGAGCTTTCCCAAGCCTGGCTTGCATTTCACCTTTTCCCACTTTGTTGAGGTGATTGTCCAGCTTGAGTTTCTCTTGCCTATGGGGGAGGCATAGGTTTGTCAGGTGGGTAGAAAAGCAAACCTGTGTTACTCTTAGAGCAGACCTTTGTGAGTTCTGATCAGGGAACATCCTGACTAAAATAGGAGTGTGTATAAACATAGCCACATTTGATGCACACACCTTTGGGGGTGCTAACAGAACGTTGTCTTCCACTCTAAAATATTATTCTCTCCCTTTTTTCTTGTGTCTACCTGTGGCCTCCTCCTGCCTTCCTCCCCACAGGGTTCTGGCTTTTGGGTGCATCTGTTTCCTTCTTGGCTTGCCTTTTGTGATTGTGTTCTGAGGGATAGCCTCAGCCTGGGCTGGCCAGTTTTGACAGATGCCTGAGTCCCTGCCAACATCTTTTGACATTTTGGCAAGGACCATTTTGTGAAAGAGACTGAACGAGGGGGAGACCAGAGACCGGTGGCTCCTGTGTTCTCCTTCTCCAGCCCAAGTGCCTTCTTTTGGTGTAGACCAGAGTGCTTTGCACAAGCCGCAGCTGGCTCAGGACCGTGTCGTCGGAACGTGTGGTAGGGATGTCCCAGGAGCAGGAGCTGCAGCTGCTCTCCATGCAGTAGCCTGAGCCCTGGTCCTAAAAACAGCACCACAGCCCATACCTGGCTCTTCATTAGCAGCTATTGCTTGGAATGAGCACTGGGGATTGGATTTGTATCCAGTGCTGTACCCCCGCTTCACTGCCCCTCACATTTATTCAGCATACACTGAACAGGATGCACTGCCAGGTACTCAGAGAGGAAACAAACCAAAGAAAAAGATGGAAAACACGATCCCTAACCTCAAGGGTCAAATCCTGGAGCTAAGACAAAGTACTGGGAGTTACAGATGCTTTTATTCTAGTAGGTTATGTTGATCTGTGCAGCCACAATCACACTCCCTCTCCGAATATCTTATTAAAGCTAGGCCTTGTTGCCGGTTCTGCCTCATGTTTTCCTCCCCTGAGCATTTGTACATAATGCCATTTCCCTTTCAATAAGGGAAACATGTATGAGGGTAATTTAAATGATTAGCCTAATCTGCAGGAAGACTGCATATGGAATTAAGTTAAATACATTTGTCCTCAGCAACCAGATCTGTCAGTCCACTTAAAGGTACCTTGGTCGTTTCATACCCTTAACAGAAGCTGAAGGCTCAGTAAGGATCATTGGCTTTCATTACTATTTTCAGTGAAAGCTTATGATGATGATTTTTTTTTTTTTTTTTTTTTTGAGACGAAGTCTCGCTGTGTTGCCCAGGCTGGAGTGCAGCGGCATGATATCAGCTCACTGCAACCTCCACCTTCCAGGTTCAAGCAGTTCTCCTGCCTCAGCCTCCTGAGGAGCTGGGACTACAGGTGCAGGCCTCCACGACCGGCTAAATTTTGCATTTAGTAGAGACGGGATTTTACTGTGTTGCCCAGGCTGGTCACGAACTCCTGAGTTCAGGCAGTCTGCCCGCTTTGGCCTCCCAAAGTGCTGGGATTACAGGCGTGAGCCACTACGCCTGACCGATGATGATTTTTTATGACAAGTGCCCTTGAGAATTTTTCTTATGGATGCTGTGTGTGGAATGTGTTTTTACTCCAATGCAGAACATTGCTGGGGATTTGTTCTCCTTGTGGTGTTGGATGTGGCCAGCCAGGAAAATGGTTCAGGTGAATCTCAGGCTGGTGGTCCACTCTGCTCATAAGGAGAGTGAAGAGGATTGTGAGAACCTTGGCTTTGCCTATGCTTGAGTCAGAAGAGGAAGGCCAAGTGCTACGGGCAGGGCAGTTCCCAACCCCTCCTCCCAGCCTTCCCCAGGCTCCCTCCCTAGTGAAAGTTTGTGTTGTGAGTAGGACCTAGAGGAAATGATTGTCGAGTCAGACGTGTGGGGGTCAGTGCAGCTGCACTGACTGTGTGGAGGGTCAGTGGCAGAACAGCCCTGCAGGCTGTGGACACTAATTCTGGCCCTGATCCAAGCTTTCTCCCTGACTTCCTTTGGCAAGTAGATTTCCACACTTCGAACAGAGATGACAAGTTGCCTTTAAGAAGTAGAGCTAAAACTTGAATTGTTAAGGCCAATATAACAAAAATATTTACTTCTAGAGCAAATCAATGCTTCATGTTATAACCAAGTGTTGGCTGTTTTGAATTTATATTCTTTTGTGCTTTGAAATGGACGCGGGAACAAATCTGCCTCCTAAGATATTCCTAGAAGGACCAATAAGGGCAGCAAATCAGAAATCCAGTTTAATTTTAGTAATTCCTGATTTTTCCTTTCTTTTTCTTGCTAGATTTGTCTTCAGCGAAGCGGAAGTTTGCGGATTCCTTAAATGAATTTAAATTTCAGTGCATAGGAGATGCAGAAACAGATGATGAGATGTGTATAGGTAAGTCGTAACTGTGCAGAAGATAAAAATGTTAATTGTTCATCGTCGCCTTCAGTGTCCCAGCAGAGCCCTTTTCCTGGGATAGGAAGTCTTTAAGGTTAGTAAAGAAAGAAGTCCTTAGTGGAAGTGGAGGGGCAGAGATATGTGAGGATTGGGGCTAGGGGCTACTCTGGTCTTCTCGAGTTCTGGGATTGCCTCACCCTCCAGCCTGAAGAGAGAAAGCTTGAAGTTTTGCGGTGAGACTCTCCTTTCCTCCTCCCTTTCATGTTTTTCTGGCTGGTGACATTCTTCCCCTCCAACCACAGCACTAAGAGCGTAGAGCATACGTGAAACACAGGTAGATGAGGGGAAAATTAGATCAGAGGTTGCAAAATGATAGCTCCTAGGCTGAGATCAGAACACAGCCCTGTTTTCTTTGGCTTTCATTTTAAAAATTAAATTACCACATAAATTCAATTTATAATCTAAAATTTCAGTTTTCTAGCTTCTTCAAAAAGTTTGAGAATTTAATCTATTGGCTCCCCCCATTCTGACCTGGCAGCAGTTGGCTGAGCTGTGTGGCTGCCACTGCCTTCAGATAGGGAGAGGAGCTCTGTGTCTGGTTCTCCTGTGCTGTGGGCAGGGAGGTCCCCACCTCTTTTGTATCCTTAAAAAGAAGCTGAGGCGGGTTACTGTTTATCACCACGCTCTGCTGCTTCACTCTTCACCATTACCTGCCTTGGTCTGTAGGCAACCCTAAGCACAGAGGATTTGCAATGTTAAGATACCTTTCTTTGCCAGGGCCTTGTCATTGCACACTATTCTCCTATGGGCACCTTGGTTGACTCCATTAAATGAGCAAGAACTGAGAAAGTTTTATTGGATTAATTAATTCATCAAATGCTTATTGAGTCCTTTTTGCCATGCAGAACGCCAGGATCAGGGGCTGAGCACAGGCGATTGGGAGACAGCTGAGCGTGGTGAACACACGTCCTGTAACTTTTGAATGTATGGATGCTTTTCCCAACATGGCTCAAGGGGCTCGAGTATCCTCAGGGCCACTGCACATAATGCTTATTGCTTTTGTTAATAATTCTGGCAAAGACGACTGTCATGTCTAAGCACCATGCTTCGAGGTGCATTCTATTAATGAGTGGCTTGAGTACTCAGGAGGAACCCAAAGAGAAGCCAGAGATGTGGCTTCCAATGGCAGCAGCACTGTTTGTTTAGTTCTGCCAAAGAAAAGGCTGAGTTCTGACGCAACACCATGACAAAGGTTGAGGAGGTCAAATCCGGACAGGAAATTCTTCAACTCCTAAGCGGAACTCTGCCCCTTCCAGCCGGGGGCCTGGAAGCTTGCCAGCATCTCACCAGTCCTGGGTACTCTCAGGAACAGGCAGGTCTTTTCCTTGAAGAAATCATTCCCTAGCTAGAGTGCCAGGTGGAATTAACCTGCATTTCTGGGTCATCCTTAATAGTTAATGATTAAAAAGATGAAGGGAGCCTTGGGAAGCAATTGGCTTTAGGCCTCTGTATGTGCCAAGGAATTAAAATCCATAACATAATAGCCAGAGCTGGAAAGGCTCCCCAAGACCCCTGGCACTCCTTCCGCCTCATGGCCCCTTTCTCTTTTTCAGCAAGGTCCTTGCAGGAGTTTGCCACTGTCCTCAGGAATCTTGAAGATGAACGGATACGGATGGTGAGTAGGGCTGGGCTAATCTTGGTCCCGGATAGTATGTTTGTATTGAGGGAGCAAGGGATTAGTTATCAGAAGAATCAGATTCAAATCCAGACTCTACCACCTGAGTGTTTTGAGTTCTTCAGCAAGCCTCATCTTTGTAGAGTTTGAAGCCTTTTGTGAATATTAAAGGATTACTCTGGTGGATAATTTTAGAATATAGTTAAATGACATCCTTCTGAAGATTCATTTTAAGGTCCTATGAACATTTTACTTTTTTGGGCCTCAGATTCTCTACCAGCAGAATTGGAGAGAAGGTGCCCCACTCTGCCTCTACTCCATTTTATTGAACCTGATCAAGAAGAGCCCTTTGAGGGCAGGGATCACTTTACTTTTCTTTCTTTCCTTCTTTTTTCTTTTATTTTATTAGACAGAGTCTCTCTCTGTCACCAGGCTGGAGTGCAGTGGCACTATCTTGGCTCACTACAATCTCTGTCTCCCGAGTTCAAGTGATTCTCCTGCCTTAGCCTCCCCAGTAGCTGGGACTACAGGCATGTGCCACCACGCCCAGCTAATTTTCGTATTTTTCGTAGAGATGGGGTTTCACCATGTTGGCCAGGATGGTCTCGATGTCTTGGCCTCGTGATCTGCCCACCTCAGCCTCCCAAAGTGCTGGGATTAAAGGCGTGAGCCACTGCACCTGGCCTTCACTTTTTGTTTTTAAGCACCCAACACAGTGTCTGCCAGGTAGTAGGGACCAAGTAAACAGGTACTTTGTAATGAAGGTAACTATAAAAAGCTCTTCAAATAGAGGCATTGTCCACATTTAAGGGTCAAATGCTGATCTCCAGGTTCTTAAGAGGTATCTTTTGTACTAGAATTTATTGTTCTGGGAGACAGAGAGGGTCTCACTCTGTCACCCCGGCTGTATTGCAGTGGTGGAATCATAGCTCACTGCAGCTGGAAACTCCTGGGCTCAAGTGATCCTCCCGCTTCAGCCTCCTGAGTAGCTAGGACTATAGGTCTGCACTACTATACCTAGCTAATTTATTTTTTATTTTATTTTATTTTATTTTTGTAGAGATGAGGTCTTACTGTGTTACCCAGGCTGATCTCAAACTCCAAACTTGAAATGATCCTCCCACCTTGGCCTCTCAAAGTGCTGGGATTACAGGCATGAGCCCAGCTTATAATTTATTCTGATATAGTTCAGCATTAGCAGATAAGAGCTTCCACATCTATAGGAAGTTCCTTTGCATTTTCCTCCATATCCTTAAGATATGAGGAATGAAGCCTGACTTGAAGTCCCCTGCTGGCTGAACACCGATTTGCCCCTAGGAGGGCTTGTCTTCAGGCAGCAGTGCTCCAAAGGTCTAGGAGAGATTGCATTAATCAACATTTTCTTCTCTTCCCATACTAACAGTTGGTAGTTTGAACACTATTCACCAAGACATAATGTAGCCAGGTACTTTACATGCATTTTCTATTTTAACCCTCATGATGACTCTGTGAAGTGGTATCTGTATTAATGCTATTTTCAGATGAAGATATTGAAGTTTACAGAGGTTAAGTAACTTGTCCCGGATCACACAGTTAATAAGTCATACAGTTTGGGATCAAACCCAAGTCTGCATTATATTAAAAAATGTGGGGGCCAGGTGTGGTGACTCTTGCCTGTAATCCCAGCACCTTGGGATGCCAAGGTGAGAGGATTGCTTGAGCCTAGGAGTTCAAGACCAGCCTGGAGGCAACATAGTGAGACCCCCATCTCAACACAATGTTTTTTAAAAAGGCCGGCATGGTGGTGCATGCTTGTAGTCCCAACTATTTGGGAGGAGGTAGGAGGATGGCTTGTGCCAGGGAGGTCAAGGTTGCAGTGATTTGTGATTGCACCATTACACTCCAGCCTGGACAGCAGAGCAAGACCCTGTCTCAATTTAAAAAAAAAAAAAAAAAGGATTTCTTTAAAACTCCAAACAGAGTAGAAGCCTCTTACTTTCTACCCTGCAGAGAGACCCAGTTTCTCTTGGTTGCTCACTGCTGGTGCCTGAACCAGAATCAGAAGGGTGGTGGCAGCAGCAGTGGGGGCTGGTGGTGGGTGGAAGCCAGGGAAAGCTTGTGTGTTTGTGCACATGCTGGTGCCTGAGAAAGGGAAATGATTCTTTTGAGTCTGATTCTTGGCTGAGTTAGGATTTGGGGGTGGGGGTGTGGTAAGCAAATCACCATGAATACCCTGCAGATTGCTATGGCCTGTGGTAAGGGAACAATGACTGGATTATACTTTTCAGCTTGCCTCTGCAGTTTTATTATTAATGTCAGTAAATTGAGTTTCTACTGTCTGCATCTGAGTATCTGGCCATTGCAAGCCCTTTCTCTACCTCCTTGCCCTGTGACAACTTCATCATCAGTTCAGTTCAACTCAGCAAACAAAGCTGCATCTTCTCTGGGAAGCCTTTCCTGACTTCCTGGGTTATATGGCTACCCTTGGTATTTTCTTAACATCCAGTTCATGCTTCTGATCCTGTGTTTACCACATTGTGTCCTGATAAACAGTGTACCTGTCTGTGCCCTAGAGTAAATGAGTTCCTCTAGGGCAGAGAAGGGGCTTCCATGTCCCCAGCATCAGGCAGTTGTTGGAACCAAGTGGACGTTACACAGTCATAGAATCTTAGACTAAGTGGGAACTTATTCCTCACCATCTGCAATTGCTCATTTGACAGGTGAGAAAACAAATCTTATTCAGGATAATAGCAAGTAGTAGTATGGCTGGGACCAGGACTCGCTTGTCCTTATTCCCAGGTGAGCAGTTGAGTGCTTCTGTATTATAAGCATCTGCTTAGGACTAGATTCTCAGTCATGGATGTCCTCTGAAATAACTTGGGGAGTTTGAAAAATACTGATGTCTGGGACTAAGTCCAGGGATTCTGAGTTAGTTGGAGTGTAGCCTAAATATAGGGATTTTAAAAGCTTTCCAGGTGATTTTACTATGTAGTTACGGTTGAGAATCATTAACTTAGGGGCTTGACAAATTTTCGTGAGCTTCAGAGACTTGCAGGTGGTTTGAGGAAAAGACTTAAGTGAACTGATTAAGTAACATCAAATAACAATAAAAATCATAAAATCAAACAAGTTAACACCACAACACTCTAGTCTTAAATTTCACTGTTCTGAAATAAGTGATCTCAAAGTTGAGAAAAAGGCACGTCGTAATAAATTTGGAGACTTGACTTTTTCTGTCCCTTACATTGTTCTGTTAGTTCTTTACTGTGTCCATCTATGACTTCTGACATTTACCCTGTTAGTTTCTTGGCAGTGGACATGCGTGTGGTTTAGGAAAAATAATGCTTTGTTATAGCGAGATTCGGGAATAATTAGTTGAGCAAAGAGTGATAAATGAATGACTTAAAAGGAAAAACTATAAAATATTGTACTGCCTTAGAAAAGACCATAGAGTCTTAGAGCTGGACAATTCAGCCCACTTGTTTTGCAGATGATGAAATTAGAGCCCAGAGAGGTTAAATGTTTTGCCCATGGTCACACAGTTGGCAGCCAATGAAGAAAGAATCCATTCACTCATTTATTCATTCAGAAATGTTTGCATGCTGCTTTGTCTCAGCACTCTTCTTTGTTTTGGGGATAGTGGTGGCAAAGTGAGCCTTTACAAGATACTGTCGTGTGTGTGTGTGTGTGTGTGTGTGTGTGTGTGTGTGTGTGTGTATAAATGTGTGTAGTGGTGAACCAGAATATTTGTAGGGGAGGGAAGTTGAGTTATGTTGGTAGTCAGGGAACGCCTACCTAAAGAGGTGATCTTTAAGCTGAAACCTTAACTACATAAAGGAACCGTCCCTGTAAGGATCTGGGAACACAGTGTCTGAAGGAATAGCCAAATGCTATGGCCCTGAGGTGGGACAAGTTTGGTGCGTTTGAAGTTGACTGGTGTGCAGGTGGGTTGGAATGCAGGATCTGAGGGGTGACCCTGTGAGATGAAGCTGAGAGGCAGCCAGCCAGTAGTCAGGAGGCACAGGTATCTTGGCTTTAGTCCAGTCCTGTCTTGGTAGAGTGACACAAAATCAGGTTTGAAAGGTTTTTGCGCCATCAAATGTCCAGAGTTTTTTTTTTTTGTTGTTGTTGTTTTGTTCTTAACCTAGAAATCAGTGTTGATTTACTTTACTTGGGTAAATGAATGTTTACAAGAAACTGTCACCAGAAGCTTGTAACTGAGACCCCACTCTTTCACCAGTTTCCCTCTGCCCCTTCAGACGGTTGCTTAACAGTTTGAGTTCCTCATTTTTACTTTCAAAGAATCAGTATGAATCATGCATGGGAGGAAGAGGATCATATTTTGAAATGTGACAGTTTTGATATGACATGCTGTTAGTTCAAAGGTTGTAAACAGTTGACATGTATAACATTGCTTACTCAAATTTTATTCTAAGACATGGGGAGGCATCTTGTGCTGGAGCTGCTGTAATTCTTTACTGATACTGCTTTTGTGTCTTCTTTCCCCTACTCTGTTTTTCTTCACTAGATTGAGAATGCCAGCGAGGTGCTTATCACTCCCTTGGAGAAGTTTCGAAAGGAACAGATCGGGGCTGCCAAGGTGAGAATTTTGCAAGCTTTGGTCTTGGATTTTAGAGTGAGAGATCTGAAAAGCACAGCACCTTCTTTAAAAAAATGTAAGCATGTCTTCAGAAAATTGGAGCCCACCTTCTTCAGAAAATCTTAGGTAGAGAACTCTACAGAGCCTAACTCATCAGGTCTTTACAGGTGACTGACGTATGAGCAGTCAGCATCTGAGCAGTCAACCCTAGAGCAGCCATTCTGGTATTTTGTTATCTAATTGTTTTGTGCTTGTTCATAAATCATCCAAAGGTGGAAACCACACCTTGTTTGTGTCATTATAATAGATAGCTGTATGCTTAGACAATTGCCTATATTGGACAATACATTTGTTTTTGTGGAATTGTATTTGTTGTGGAGGTCCAGGACTTGCATCTTAAACGGGAGCTACCAATTATGCCCTGTGGGTATGGGGACTTTCTTTAAAGGGAGGCAGCTTGTACGTAGGTTTAGCTGATTTTTGCTGGGTCTGGAAATGGGCCCTCTCTTGCTGATTCTTTAAATGTTTCAAGATAAACCGAAAAGCCAGTTTTATGTGAAATTTTTTATTGACAAATAATCTTAAAATATATATTACGCATTGTGCAGGTCAAAAAATGACATCTGCAGGCCTTGTTCAACCTGGAGATCACCATTTGTTATCACTGACCTGGAAGGATTGTAGCCTAAACTTGACTAATTCTAATGTGTTCTTGAGAGACTCCTGTTCCTTTTTAAAAGGTGAATTCTCCAGGGCTCCCTTGTCCCGTAATAAATCACTAGCAGTGCCAGGTGCGGTGGCTCATGCCTGTAATCCCAGCACTTTGGGAGGCCAAGGTGGGTGGATCATGAGGTCAGGAGTTTGAGGCCAGCCTGGCCAATATGATGAAACCCCATCTCCATGGTGGCATCTGCCTGTAGTCCCAGCTACTCATCAGGCTGAGGCAGGAGAATCGCTTGAACCCAGGAGGTGGTGGTTGCAGGACCTGAGATCTCAGCACTGACTCTAGCCTGGGTGGCAGAGCAAGACTCCTCAAAAAAAAGAAAAAAAAAGTCTCTAGGAAACCCTAGCCGGTTTGACCTTCAGTAGAGTGTTAGAGGCAACCTGCAGGGAAGATGTTTTCACTGGAATCAGTGAAAGCAAAAAGATTTCCAACATTTTCTTCCTGGTTTTCTGGAACTGTGAGTCAGTTCAGCTGCAGGGGCTTTTGGGCAACACCACTTTCCTACTTGTGTGGATTTTACTTAGTTGCAAAATGAGGTATTCGTCGCCCCTACAACACACACACACCCTTTAAGTGCATCAGCTTTCTGGAAATAGATATGATTAGGGCCCACAAAAGATGTTGTTTATTCAGGGTCCTTCAGAGAGATGGTCGACCGTAGTTTGAAGGAGGGACCATGGCAAAGACTTTTTTCCCAGTTTTATAGTACTTTTCTACTAATTGTGATTTACACATTTATAAGGAAGTAAGGAATGTATGTATATAATTTGCATGAAGTCTTATTCCACTAAGATTTCATCCAGACTGTGAACCAGTCCAGTGATGGCAGATAATAAGCTGTGAACAAATGCTCCCTCAGTTCCTGGCAGTGCAGGCCCCCCAGCAGGCCTCCTGTTGGTGGCCTTGGCACCTGTGCCTCCCCAGTCTTGAACATGTTTGGCAGTGGCTTCCGGGGGTTATGCAGAGCTTTGAGACCAAGGCAGAGCAGTCCTGTGTGTTGAGTCATTTTTCAGTAGTTACTTCTCTTTCTGAGCACAGACGCCTCTCACTCTGGCCTCTTCTTTCACCAGCTTGGGTGTTACCGTGGCTACCAAGGAGGCGAGACAAGAGTCTGAGTGGGCTCCCTTTGGGCCCAGTGATCTTAATGACAGGAAGAGGTACTGTCCCACCAAGGGGTATAGATGGTGACGTATTAGGATAAAAGAATTTAAATAAAATAGTCACTTACCCAAGCATGTTTCCCCTCATGCATATTCTATTCCCCCATTCATTAAACCATGAATAATAATGAATTATTAAACATTTTTCTGATGATCATTAAAGAAGAATTGTGATGACATTTGGGTGACTTCTCATCCCTCCCCATTTGTCGTTGTTTTTCCCCTGGCATATCCTCCTATCCATCACCCCACATACACATACATTTTTATCATAACATTATGTAAATTTAAGAGAAAACAAACCAGCTAACAACAGATCCACTTCTAGACGATCCAGGGAGCAGTCTCAAGAACACCTCAGAGCCAACAAATGCTCTTCAGCTGGTTTTGGTAGTGGCCAAGTGGAGGTTCTGAACTCTGCCTGTGCCAACGCTAAAATTACTTTTTCCTCCTCCTCCACTCTCTGGTGCTGCTTCGGTTGCCATAACATCCTGTTACAGAATGCACGGTGTGAAGGCTGCCAGGGAGGAAGACTCTTGGGCATTCTTATGCTAACATGCTGCTGAGGAGTATCACCCTGGTGCTTGACTTAACCGTGGCCCTAAGTTTCTGTTTCCGAGTTTGAGGAAATTAATTTTTCCTGTGTCAGAGGAACATTTGGAATGCTGGACTCTGCAATAAGTATAACAGGCATAAGAGAGTAGCATAAAGAGTGAGTCTGAGCTAGACCGCCTGAATCCAAATCTCACTTCTGCCATTTGCATGTAGACTTGGGGAGGTTACTGACCCTCTTCGTGCCTGTTTCCTGATCTCTAAAATGGGTAATAATAAAACTTGCCTCAGAGAGTTATTATGAAGAAGTGAGTGAACTCATATCAAATGCTTAAAACAGTGTCTATCATATAGCTACCTGAACACAAGAACAATGTGTGTTACGTAGTCATTCGATGCTAGTGATTATATTCGATATACACAATTCATTCATTGAAAAAATACGTGAGAGGCTGCTCTGTGCCAGCATTGTTCTGTGCCCTGATATGTGGTGAAGAACAAGGCAGATGCGGTTGCGTTGCTCATGGTGTGGCTGGGGAGAAAGACATTAGACAAAAAGAGATAAATAAATATATAATTTCCAATTGTAGTAGGTTCTTGGGAGGGTTACCTTCATGGCACTTGGGACATGGAAAGCAGGTGTGTTCTTGATAAGAAGGAGGCAGGTTTAGGTGATAAGCTCACCCCTGTCACCACCATTGCTGGCGTTTATTGAGCACTTCCCACGTGGCAGGCACCCTGGTAAGCACTACTTGTGGTTTATTTCATTTAATCCTAGAAATCCTTTGGTGGGGGAGGGTTCTTATTTTTATTTTGTTATATGGTCTTTGAGCTGAAAGAAGAAACCTCAGCAATTATTTAATCATCCTCAATTTATAGTTGAGGAAATTGAATCCTGGAGGGGGATGGTGATTTGTTTCTAGCCAGTCCATATTGAGTTGGGAATACATTTTAGGATTCTAACTCAATCCTTGACTTAACCACCCCCCAGTAGACTCTCTGAAAGGTGAAAACCATCTTGAGTCCTGAGTAATGGAGTAATACCACCCTCCCATCTTAGGAACGTCATCTAAACTGTAGTACTTTTTTGCTGCAGAGGTCTTATTGCTGTTTTCTCAGGACAGAAACAGCTTCTCTTTTTCCTTCTTCTTTTCTCTAACTTTGGCTGTCCTCTTAAGCATGGAATCCAGAAGCACAAGTTGCCAGAATGTCCCAGAATGCCAGTGACTCATGCTCTCTGGCCTTTTCTCACCTCTGGCCAGCTGGGTTGTCCGGCATCAGGATTCTCCTTTTTGGGGTTGCTGTTAAGGCTGGTGGGAGTGGATACATGTGAACAGCAATTGGAGTTGGAGCCCCAGTTCAAAGTTGCTGGTTTCTCTAATGGAAAAGAACTGCTTGGGTCAAGTCTCTTGCCTGTACTCTCCTCAGATTTGAAGGAGTAATGTGACTCAGGCTTTTTCTTCATTTGCTGCTGTATGCTTAATTGTTCTTGGACTAGAGTAGTCTTTTAAGCCAAGCTCAGATTCATAGAAATGGATATATGTCAGTTAAAATGGATATATGATTATTCTCCCCACTTTGTGAGCATATACCAGATGAGTGGGATTCTGACAGGTGGAGCTTGTCAGGGCTCTGGGTGATGGCTTCTTGCTCAGAGTGTCCTGCCCCAGGGCATTTGCACTTGACTGTTCTGCTCTAGAAGGCTCTACTCTACTCCTTCTGTATTTAACAGGTAGGCCTCAGCTCACATCTTCCTTCCCCAAATGATGCGTTTCCTGGGTGCCCTATCTAAAGAATCTGTGTGACTGCACCCTGCTTATTTCCTCTGTAGCACTTGCAGCAGTCTATAATTGTGCTGATTATTTGTTTACTGGTGAATTGTGCTTCTCCTACTAGAACATTTCTACCGTGAGGGTTGGGACCATTTTTGTCTTATATTTCTGGTACGTAAAGTAGAGCCTTGCACAGAGTGGTTGCTGATTTTATATTTGTTAAAGGAATAAAGAGATGCGTCTGAGCTTCCTTATTTAACCAGAAAATATTTTTCCTCTTCTAAGCCTTGAAGTTGCAGAAAAACATCCCTACGAGTTTGGGCTCCACATGAGACAAAAGCAGGAATAATGTACCCAATTAGTAAATTTGATCCTGTTTATCAGCCCACTGCCAACCTTCTTCCAGCCTCCTTGCCTGCTCTCCCCATCGGAATGTGGAAGGAAGGCAGACTGCCTGTGACAATCTGTCTCAACTGTGGTGGAGAACATGGGCTTTGGAGGCAGATTGTCCTGGGCTCAAATCCCAGCTCTGTCACTCTCCGTGACTTTTTACAGGTTCACCTCTTTGGATCCAAGTTTTCTTATCTGTTAAATGGGAGACAGAAATAGAACCACAGTGACCCAGTGATTCAGTGGTGGGGAGCAGGGATTTATTTGTATATTATGGTAATTATTTTTCGTTTTGAAGGCAATAATACAAGCTAATAAAACAATTTCTTAAAGAGAAGAAAAAACTGTTACCCCATTACCATATTATAGGTGTTTTCATATAAGTAAATTCCCACGTCATCTTTGTCCATAGGTAGACACATTCTATGTAGGTAGGATGCATCAAGTTTATGTAATGCTATTATTACTTTTCTCTCTAATTTTCCAATGACTTGTTATGCTTATTAGATGTTCCATACTTTAATTATGCCAAACTCTATCCTTGGCAATGGTGTTGCTGCTGCTGCTTTTATTTTTGTTTTGCTGGCATAAATGGTGCTGTAGTAAACACATTTGTGTGACGATAATACCGTTGTTTTGAATTATTCCTCAGCTTAAAGATCTGCATGTGATATTAAGTGTCAAGAGATATTTAGGCTTACATACCAAGAAGTGTTTTTTGAACAGTATTAAGGCTGGATCTAGCCTTAGCATAGGCTTGTCTCATTCAAACTGTAAGAAGATCTTCCTTCCTTGATGTTAGCTTCATAGGTACCCTCACTGCCGCTGCCCGCCCCTACCCCCCAACCCCTGACCGCCTTCTGGCCTTGACTATCCTTGTGAATTAGAAACTAGAAATTTCTATTTCACAAAGTTCTTAGAGGGAGAATCTCGGCTTTGCCACCATTAAATACTGGTATTTACCTCATTTCTGGCCTTGTAATGGTGCCTCTCTGTTAGACCCTCAAACCCAGGGGGCTGTTGGTAGGTGGCTGCAGGATTCAATGGGCATCACCTGAAAAGTAGGAGCCGAGTTGTCATCTGTGTTCTGAGCAGAAAGATCTTGAGAGATGGAGGCTGCTTTTATTCCTGCAACATGTTACTTTTTTTCTTTTCTCTTTTTTTGCCAGGAAGCTAAAAAGAAGTATGACAAAGAGACAGAGAAGTATTGTGGCATCTTAGAAAAACACTTGAATTTGTCTTCCAAAAAGAAAGAATCTCAGCTTCAGGAGGTAAGAGACTTTATTAGTATTCTGAATAAAGTGTTCAACTTGTACGTGGTGCTTTGCATATGTGCTGGTTGCTCTTTGCTAGAAAATCTTAGGGTTAGAAGGGACCTGGGAAGTCAGGAACTTGCTCCTGATCTCTCATCCAATGCCTGATGCCTGGACTGCCTTTGTGTCCTCCAGCTTTCTAGCCTGTCAAGGTGGAACACACTGCTGGCCGAGATGACCACCTCCTCGTTGGGCTGCCCTGATTGCTAGATCTCTTCATTTCAAACTGATGTTTCTTTTCCTGTTTCTCTCATTCTTGGCCTGAATTCTGCACTCTGTTACTTTACCTTTTGACTTCCTGCCTTTTATCAGTGATTTGAAATGTTAGCATCTCAAACGTTTTGATTATCCTTCCTTAATACTATTTTTTTCATTGTTTCAACCAGCACTTGACATTAGTCTTCTTTCTTTTTTTTCTTTTAAAGTAGTGCTTTCTTTTCCTGTGTATGTTTTGTGCTTTGGTAATGTTGTTTCAAGAAAATACATTTCTTAAACTTGCTCTTGGTTTTTCTGGGTGTGCACGGTATCTTTTATAAAGTAGTTCACTTGGAAAGAAAAATGATGGAGCCATGGCAGCCATGGAGCTGTGACTATTTTTATTTAGTTCATGAAGACTGGCATGTTAAGGGAGTTTATGCTTCTTGGAGACAGGGGAGTTTCCTCGTGGAACCCCAAATTTGGCTTTAAAAATGTCATCTCATTTAACTGAACAATTTGCTTGACCTCTCTCATGATATTTTTGCGAAAAGAGGCTACCATGGCTTCCAGGTTGGCTCTTGTTCTTAAATTTTAATTCTTTTTGAGCAGATACCATGCTTCCGTTAGGTGAAAGTTCACATGAGGACAGCGGAGTCAGAGGTTGAAAGGTTGAAGTAAGACATGGTAGAGTTCAGTCCCCTCCCAATCACAATTGGTTACACATCTTGGGATAGGAATGTGGTGTTCTCAGAGCTCTTTGCTTTGAAATGAGTATTTAATCCAGCTCTTAGAGTAGTGATGAGGACCATTACTCAACAGCAATGACAACTGTCGCAACAAGTGTTTATAATGGGCTTTGCAGATCAGTTCTTGACCAGCCAGCAGACAGCACTGAGTATTTGATGTGTGCTTTACAAAGTAGAAAATGCTAATCTATCCTCGAAAATCTTGTGCCTGAGTAGGGAAAAAGAAGCTAAAGCAGAGGAAGTGTTTCTTGAAGGGGCATAGCTACTCAGGTAAATCTTGTCAAATGTGATTGAAAAACCTTAAAAAAAACAAAATAGAAAAAGCTTATTTTCATGGAGTATAAAGACTATCCCAACTTGACAGGAGGATGTAGGCACGATCCCAAAGATGTGGATAGTCCATGATAAATATGGAATTCTATTTAGAATCTGTCCTAATACCCTCACTTTTTGGTTATTCTTCTGGCATCACTTGACATTTAGGATTTGGAAACTAATTTACGTTTAAAGAAAGCCTTTTTGGGTGTGCTTCCCAATGACCAGGTCAGTCCAGCTCTCCACATTCTAAGCAGTTATAAATTATGGATTAGATGACTATGCACCATTAGTACAGATACTCAAGAGTATTCAGGGTTGAGCAGGTGTGTGGTTTTTCTAGCACCTGCTGAATTTGGGAGGCCCACAGCACAGTTACCAGTAGGCACAGCGTTCCCTAGAACAAAGCTGCTTCTTCACCAGATCCATTCTCTCCATGGCCAGTTAGTGCAGACTTGGTCTTGAATGAGTCCAGCATTTTCTTATAGGGCCCTGAATGCCCTCTGAGTTACCACAGTATAGGGACCAGAACACTGGGCTGGCTAAGAGGATACCCGGCTTCAAAACCTGTTCTGTCATGTATTTACCCTGTGACCTGGGGCAAATTACTTCAACTCTGTAAGCTTTATTTCCTTTATTTGTTATATACTCATGAAATACCTGTCCTGCTTACGTTATGAATGAGAAGACAAATATATATAGCCTCTGCTCAAGTATAAAGTATTTTATATTTAATGTAAAATGTGTAAATATACATGTGATTGGCCTATTCTGTTCCATTTTCTGTTCCTAAATTGTATGCCACTATTCCTGACTCTGCCAGTTCTGTATTTCAGTGGATGTTTTCCATTATGTTCTTTTATTACAATCCTTTATGTTCTTGCCTTTGACCAGTCATACCTTCTAAGTACTTCGAATGTAAGGATTGGGTTGCAGATCTTGCAGGTTCTGACCTGTTCTCAGGCATTGCTTTTTAGTTGTACCTGAACTAAATTAAACTTTATAAAAATCTAACTCAAAAACAGTAAAAACGATTACCACTGCCACTAACCACATCAATAACAACAGTAATACAGGGAAACACTTGTTGAGTGCATATTTATGGCCCAGGTATGGTGTTAAGCATTTTACCTGGAATCTTCTGTAATCCTCACCCTAAGAGGTATAGATGTGGTTATTGCTCTGTTTTACATCTGAGGAAACTGAGGCTCAGATATGAAAAATAGCTTGGTGGTAGCAAGTCAACCCCAGAACCTGGCTGTGCAGCCCTTTCCCTTCACCCAGTTTGCTTTCTATGTCTCTGTCGGGGGAGGGATGTTGAGGCTTTCTTGTCTGCTGACCATCGTTATTTAGTGCCAGTGTCATGACATAGAATTGGAGATAGGGAAGGACCTTAGTGATCGACTTTTTTTTTTTTTTTTTTTTTTTTGAGACAGAGTCTAGCTTTGTCACCTATGCTGGAGTGCAATGGCACTATCTCAGCTCACTGCAACCTCCGCTTCCTGGGTTCAAGTGATTCTCCTGCCTCAGCCTCCCAAGCCGCTGGGACTATAGGTACCCATCGCCATGCCTGGCTAATTTTTGTATTTTTAGTAGAGATGGGGTTTCACCATATTGGCCAGGCTGGTCTCAACTCCTGACCTTGTGATCTGCCCACCTTGGCCTCCTAAAGTTCTAGGATTACAGGCGTGAGCCACCGCATCCAGCCATTTCAACTTTCTTGAATTACATTTGAAGGAACTGAGTTTCTTGCAGAGATCAGGTGTTTTGCTGAAGGTGTTCATATATGTAGTGATCATTTTCTTCATATTTATTAAAAATTCATCTTTTAGGAATATTATTGAACAGCTGGTACACCTTTGATGAAACCTTCCACTTTGATGGCCAGAATCATTCCCTGATTGCAGAGTTATGCACCGGATGCTTTTAAATTCCAGCCCATCCCTAGATCCCTGGAAGTAGAAACTATAGGGCAGTGATGTGGAATGACACTGCCATCTAGTGGATAATTTTTAAAAATGTGTAGTTTTGAATGGTAAAAAAAGCGTGCTTCAAAAACAGTAGTCATTCATTCAACAAATACTCATTGGACGCTTCCGCAAAAGTTTGTCAAGGCACTGGGTGTTTTGTAGAAAGTGAAATGAAGGATCTTCCTTCATGGAAATTACAATTTAGGAGGAAGTGTCTTTTCCAAGAAGCACAGAATAGTTGATGGATTTATACAAGCTGGTAGATTTACAGCTTCTCAAGTGGCAGTCGGGGAAACTGTCTTGAGTGTTCTGCTGGGTGGGTTGGAATTCTGGCTTATAATTCTATTGCAGGGAGCCCAAAGATATGATGAATTCTGTGGCCCACACCAAACAGGGGCATTGGCAAGAGAAATACAACATTCCACTTGAGATTTCTTCTTCCTTTTCATTTGGGAATTCATTAAGTTATGCATTTGTTATTAGTTCTGGGTCATTGCAGAGATGTGCATTTGGTGCTGAATGATGGCCACATGGAGATCAATTCATTCATTCTGCATGCATCTGTTGAACATTTATTATGGGCCAGACACCATCGTGAGGACTGGTGGAGAAAATGAAAAAAATAGACAAGGTCTTTGTTCTCATGGACTTTATATTCTAGTAGGCAATACATAAGAAAAGAAAGGAATAGGCCAGGTGCAGTGGCTCATGCCTGTAATCCCAGCACTTTGGGTCGCTGAGGCAGGCAGATCACTTGAGGTCAGGACTTCAAGACAAGCCAGGCTAACATGGTGAAACCCCGTCTCTACTAAAAATACAAAAAAATTAGCTGAATGTGGTGGCACATGCCTATAATCCCAGCTACTTGGGAGGCTGAGGCAGGAGAATCACTTGAATCTAGGAGGCGGAGTTTGCAGTGAGCCGACATCGTGCCACTCCACTCCAGCCTGGGCAACAGAGCGAGATTCCGTTTCAAAAAAAAAAAAAAAAAAAAGAGAAAGGAATAGATAAGAGTTTAAATTGGGAGATGAGATAGAGATTTCCTGGTAACCTATTTAAAATAATGTAGTCAATGAAAGCTTCTCCTAAAGTGGTAACATTTAAAGTGAGCCCAGAAGTAATGAGCTAATGAAAAGCCAGGACAGTCTTCACATTGTGAGTGCGTTGTAAAATCACAATTATTGCGTCATGAAATAGAGTAGGCTAAAATAGAATAAAAAATATGAAAGTGCGTTGCACTTAACAATTATAAATGTGTGTTTATTGAGTCATAATATAAAAAGTATTTCTTACTGTATGTTGAAGTTAAAATGTATATTTATCTAGAAGAAGAGGTTTTCAGGCAGAAAGAGCACCAGGTACAAAGGTTGTGGGAAAGAAAGGATTCGGAGCATTAGAGGACAGGAAGGACACCAGAGTGGCTGGAGCTTGGTGACAGTGGGTTAGGATGGGAGGAGGTGAGGCTGGAGGGTTGGGCAGATTATACAGGGTCTTGCAGACTACAGTGGAGGTCCTGGGAAGCCCTCTAAGGGGCTATGAGACCATCTGATTTAGATTTTAAGGTAGATATTCTGGTTCCTGGGTGCAGAGTAGATTGGGACAGAGGGAGAGGATGAAGACAGAGATACCAGTTAGGAGAGAAGTGTAGTAGCCCAGAGATGATGTGGCTGGTTTAGGGTAGAGCAGGAAGTGAAGCCCTGTGCTCTGAAGTGCCTGGGGACAGTAACCACCAACATGCACAGGACACTTTCCAGTTTTCCAATTATTTACATCATTTGGCCCATTTTCTCTTAGAAACAGCTCTATGCAGAAGCAAGGGCTGATGTTATCTCCATCTTCTAAAGATCAATGCCTTGAGCCGGTCTCACCAGCTAGGACATTGTAGAATTGGAGCTTGCGCTTGGGCAGCTCTCTGATGCGGGTGTCAATTCTGTTTTCCTCATAGGAATTCCCTTCTGGATCCTTCATCCCTGCCTTTGCAGATTTTCAGAATGATGTCTCCTGTTTTTCCCCCTCCACTTGCAGTATCAATTGGCAAGCCCAGGCAGGGAGAAGCTTTGAGGTGTATGGGGTGGTCAGGAGTAGCTGCATCCCTCCGCATAAGTGTTTTGGATTTGCGCTACAGGAGATCAAAGGCTACAGGAACACATGAGACTTAACAGCAGGAGCCCAGCTGGAAGGCATATCAGCCCAGTTGTCTAAGCAGCCACACTGTGCTGGGGGTTGTGGTGGTGAGTAAGATGCAGGACCTTCTGAAACCTGTTTCCAAATAAAGATTCATCAGTGCTCAGATATCTCCTTTCCCTGCTTGGGAGCCTTAGAAAATGTCCCCAGTCTTAGCCCTCCAGGTTGGTTTGATCTACCAGTTACTCAGCAGACTGGCTTTTTTTGTTTGTTTTTGTTTTTTGATACAGAGTGTCTCACTCTGTCCTCTAGGCTGGAGTGCAGTGGCACGATCTCAGCTCACTGCAACCTCCACTTCCTGGGTTCAAGAAATTCCCCTACCTTAGCCTCCCGAATAGCTAGGACTACAGGTGTGCCATCATGCCCGGCTAATTTTTTGTATTTTAGTAGAGACAGGGGTTCACCATGTTGGCCAGGCTGGTCTTGAACTCCTGACCTCGTGATCCGCCCACCTTGGACTTCCAAAGTGCTGGGATTATAGGCATGAGACACTGCGCCTGGCCCAGACTGGCTTTTGAGTGTGAGAATGTCCATTGCTGAGAGATCCAAGATGGCCGATTAGGAGCAGCTCAGGATTGCAGCTCCTATTGAAAGCGCAGAGAGTGAGTGGATGCCGAATTTCCAGATGGATTTTTGTTGCCCACAGACCAGGAGATTCCTAGGCGGAGGAGCCCCACGGGTCGCCAGCGCAACTCTTTTGGCCGGCGCGGTGGCTCTCAATACAAAACACATGGGACTGGGTGCTCTTTTAGCTGATGAGTGGAGATCCGGGAAGGCAGAGTCGCCTATTCAGCTGATTAAAAAGGGGACTGAAACAGCGAGCCAGGCCAGGAGATTCTGGGGCAAAAAAGCACCACGAATCTCAGCACCACTGTTTCAGCCGGCATAGTGGGTCGCCACACAGGAAATCACACAGCAGCTCTGAATGAACAACGGAGCCCATAGCTCAGCACTTGAGCTCCTATAAAGGTCAGACTGTCTCCTCAAGGAGCTCCCTGACCCACTTATACCCAAGGAGTCACCTCATAAAGGAGAGCTCAGACCGACAGTTTGGCGGGTATCGATACTTCTGGGACAAAGATAGCAGAAGAAGAAACTGGTAGCAACTCTTACTGTTCTGCAGTGGCTGCAGGTGATCCCCAGGCAAGCAGGGCCTGGAGTGGACCTCAGCAGTCCTACAGCAGAGGGGCCAGACTGTTAGAAGGAAAACTAAGAAACAGAAATAACTTCATTATCAACAAACTGGACATCCACTCAGAGACCCAATCTGAAAGTCAGCAACTACAAAGACGACAGGTGGATAAATCCACAAAGATGGGAAGAAACCAGTGCAAAAAGGCCGAAAACACCCGAAACCAGAATACCTCTCCTACAAGGGATCACAACTCCTCATCAGCAAGGGAACAAGGCCTGATGGAGAATGAGTGTGATGAATTGACAGAATCAGGCTTCAGAAGGTGGCCAATAAGAAACTTCTGTGAGCTAAAAGAACATGTTCTAACCCAATGCAAAGAAACTAAGAACCTTGAGAAAAGAGTTGATGAAATGTTAACGAGAATAGACAACTTAGATAGGAATATAAATGAATTGATCGAGCTGAAAAACACAACACGAGAACTTCGCAAAGCATGCACAAGTTTTAACAGTCGAATTGACCAAGCAGAAGAAAGGATATCAGAGGTCGAAGATCAACTCAATGAAATAAAATGAGAAGGCAAGATTAGAGAAAAAAGGGTGAAAAGGAATGAACAGTTTCCAAGAAATATGGGACTATGTGAAAAGACCTAATCTGCGTTTGATAGGTGTACCTGAATATGACGAAGAGAATGAACCCAAGCTGGAAAATAATCTTCAGGATATTATTCAGGAAAACTTCCCCAACCTAGCAACGCAGGCCAATATTCAAGTCCAGGAAATACAGAGACCACCACAAAGATATTCCTCAAGAAGAGCAACCCCAAGGCACATAATTGTCAGATTCACCAGGGTTGAAATGAAGGAGAAAATGCTAAGGGCAGCCAGAGAGAAAGGTCAGGTTGCCCACAAAGGGAAGCCCATCAGACTCACAGCAGATCTCTCAGCAGAAACCCTACAAGCCAGAAGAGAGTGGGGGCCAATATTCAACATCCTTAAAGAAAAGAACTTTCAACTCAGAATTTTACATCCAGCCAAACAAAGCTTCGTAAGTAAGGGAAAAATAAAATCCTTTGTGAACAAGCAAGTACTCAGAGATTTCATCACCACCAGGCCTACTTTACAAGAGCTCCTGAAAGAGGCTCTACACATAGAAAGGAACAACCAGTACCAGCTACTCTAAAAGCAT